GTGTGATGGTGATTCGCAGTGTCGCTCTTTCCACGATTATTGTTGTCTCCCCGACGAGCGCCCAGCAGTCTGTCGTATTTTAGCACAGAGTGAATTTGGCCCTAGATCGAATAGTGTCGCAAACCAGTCTTGACCCACCCTCAATCCTCCTAAAAGTGGCCAGGCAGAAGACGTTGGCATGCTTTCTCTTTCGCTTCGCACTTAATAGTGAGGCATACAATACAAATATACAAAAAATTGCCGTTTTTGCCTAATAACAGCATCTAGAATGAAATGATGAATAGACGTTATCACTGAATGGCCTTCGGGTAGACGGCATGTTGTTCCGCTTCTTATTTGTGATGATTAATTACAATTACAAGCGACCTACTACCGTTTACACCGCACTGGGAGCTGAATGGTAGAGCGTGACGTGCGTCTACGCATAAAATTCATTATACGGAGATGATGTAGTCTTTATGTATATCCATCTAGCGCTCTCGTTTGGCTGCAGACTTTCCCCGTGTAAAGCATGACGCTGTTGGTGAATTCGGATTCATGTTATTGTCGTCTTCTCGAGGGGTTCCTGACACGATGTCGGAACCGCTAGAGTTGACGAGGCGCTTGGTGGGGTAGGTCGTAAATCTAGATCTTGAAACATGTTCAGGCCTCTGAAGACGACGAACCAGTCGCAATCTCAGGCCTTATTTATTAAATTAATAAAGGTCCCACCTAAAAGCCTCGTGAAGCTCAGAAGAATTAATCGCTTACAATTACCATGCCGAGGTTGCAAGACGAGAGAAGCTGGAGAATGTGCAGAGTGTCCACTTACCTCGCCACTACTAATAACAGGGTAAAACTGATTCCTTAGGCTCTTGGATTAGGAGTGAGCAATGAGCTTCATCAGTATAAGCCGCATCCTTGACTTTTATTCCGAATCGTGATGGTTATTGAAATTGTTTGGGTTACACACTGAAACACAGAGGTCAGCTGATCTTCAGCTCTGCGTTTTCGTTTACCGAAATGATTACAATTGACCATCCGAGGAATGCAAGGAACTTCGTAGGCTGAATTCAGTTTGTTCTGTAGGTGCAACTCATGGGCAAAGCATGTTTTCTTCTTACATGTCTGAGTGTCCCTTTGAAGATCGTGGTGGATTTTGGTTCGTAATAACTTCCATTTTTATTCGATGGGAAGGCAAAAGTGGCAACAGTGAGACTTATCTGTTCCGATGGTTCGGATAACAACGGCTCAATATGTGGCTAGTCCTAATATTCTAATGTAAAAAGCTCTTTAAGGAAGATTATTGAGAGCTTCCACCTGTCAGAATATCTTTCCTATGTCGTTGTCATTTATCCCTAATCCTGGGAATCAAGTATATGGCACGATAATTCCAGTGAAGTAGCCAATAGCTGGGCGTAAACAGTGCTCAGATAAGTATAATTTGAAATGAATGCCATAGCTGCCGACTTTATTTGTAAGGAGAGTGAGGGAGAGATGGAGGGATTCGTTGACCATATTGTACTCATTTTAATCATAGTAAACGCTTTTAAACTGTTTCATGGGAGCCGGTCGTATTACTATCATCCTCTCCATTTCTCTCGATTTCAGGTATGGTAGCACAAAACCAGCCGTTGGTTGGTGGACCACAACAAGGCAGTCCTCAACAAGGTGTACAGAACGTGAATATGCAGTCGCCGCTACAATCCCCACTACACTATCCTATGCAAAGTTATGGGTAAGCTGCCGTCAGTTTTCTTCTATGACTTCCTGTTCCGAGGCCCTAATGGTGCCCGATCCGCAGACCTTTTTTTTAGTTCCGCTGGGATTAGATGCGAATGCATTTCCGTACGCTCCCTCGGTGAAATGGCAGATAATTTTGACTGATTCTGTTTTACGTGGCAGAGACGTCACATTTGCAAAGAAAATTTGAGTGCCGTCTGGCCTGTCGGAGCTTCCTAGTTCTTACCAGGGAAGTCCGCTAACTTACCATGGAACTTTGAATGGAGACCTGGGTAGATCGATAGAGTCTATAAGGTTATTTATAAATAGCAAAACTGCAACTGCATTCACAAGCAACTTATGAGCAGGTAAAGTTTGTAAGCCTCTACCCTACTGCACCGTTACAAACTTTACCTGCTCATAAGTTGCTTGTGAAATGCAGGTTGCAGTTTTGCTATCTATATTTGTAAATAACCTTATAGACTCTATCGATCTACCCAGGTCTCCATTCAAAGTTCCATGGTAAGCGGACTTCCCTGGTAGGCGATCGATTGCTTGGTATTTTTCGTTTGTAGTAATTAGTAGTACAC